TATTTTGTGTTTGCTTTCTATTTAAATAGAAAGCAAACACAAAATATACAAAAGTAAATATACAGTAATCGAGCATTAACTTGATTTTTATTTGTATTATAAACATCTATACTTGTACTATTCATATATATCCAAGAAAATTTCTTCTAACTATAAACTCTATACTTTAGATCAAAAATCAAGTGTACGGTTAATTTTGTCGTTGGTAGAGATATAAGAAATTTCTGATGGCGAGAATCGTCATTTTTAATACAGAAAACGGAAAAATATACTTATGACATTGGTTGATTTCGACTCAGTTGCTTTCAAAACTTTATCGAGAACTGAAAAAATCGAACGATGAATAAGGTGCAATTTCATAAATAAGAAATGTTATCCGTCCGATGTACTATTAAAAGATGATGATTATCATAATTTGGATGAAAGTTAACCTTTTTCTTAATAACTGACTATTTCTGAACGATAAAATGAAAAAACAGATTTGAAATAATTAAAATTCCCTTAAAATAAGTTCAATGCGTTTAACTAACCTGAATACAATCTTTTTGCAAAAGACTCATGATATATTTTTCTGATCAGAATTCCTTCACTATACATTTCTGTTGTTGGAAAACTGAATTTCCTATTATTCCTTTCCTCTTATACTATTTCTGAATCTTCACAATAATGGCTCAACAAACAGCATGATCTACTGTTGAGTTAAAAATGAAAGTTGACAAACCTGTGCCGTAGTCCGTCATAGTATTTGTATTAAAGCTTTTAAGAAAGGCAAAGGCCAATACAAGTAGGATGACGATGAAAATCACAAGCAACGCTAGACCAATGAGCATTCCAATACCCAATAAGATCCGTGTAGTATGCATTTTCCTGAAATGTAAACACAGAAAAGGTGCATCATTCATTTCTGGATAATAGAAAGTGAGTCCAGTGTTAATATCGAGCTGACGAGGTAAGGTCTTTGAGTGGAAAATAATTTTTCGGTTGTTACTATAGTCATTTTATCGTTCATAGTGAGTAATGTAATTTCTTAACTTTGATTGAATGTGCGGACCTTTGAGACTGAACTATGAGGGTTATTTCACTCGCTTCTCGGACTGTTCTAAGGCATTTCGGAAAAGCAAGTGAATTGTTTTTTATCTGAAAATTGGCATATGATTAGGTCTCATCGTTACTAAATGTCCTAAATGTTACCGTTAAAACGTACCTATCCATCTCGAGACATTAAGTTCTTGAAAAATTCGTATTTTATAAAAAAAAACATCTGGAAACATTCAATCTACTTGAAAAACCAATGTTTTGAAGAAGTATTTGTTCCAACTGAATTTTGCGGTAAAACATGGTAACGATGAGACTTATCTGTATGTATAAGTTCAGACCGAAAATACAACATCCAGTTCTATTCGGAAAAGCTTTAGAATAGGTTGAGACGTGATCAAAATAATGTTCATAACTCAATTTTAAAGACCCTAACATTCAATAGAACTTGCAGTATTACAAAACTGGCTGTGATTGGTTAAGTGACTATAGTGCTGGCCGAACAGAGAGTTCACATTCGAAGATCTTTCCCTGTGTTCAGTAGCCAATTAGCATGTTAGTTGTAATGTTGGTGAAAGAAGCTTAAACAAACTTACAGCTTCTCCATTGTATCCATATTTTGTTCATATAATTTTTCCGATGACATTCTTTGCGATATTGGCGATTCTCTCCTGTCGAAAAATTTGGAGCCAAAATTGTAACCTTGATTCCTAAAATTTATGATTCACAGGATGGAGTGAATGTTAAATTGTCTAGAAAGAATTTGGGTCTTGATTTTGGAAAATATTGATGTTTATACTGCGGTGAAGTCATGATTTTCTTAGCATTGGGTCACTTTCCAGTGGAGCTCTTTATAGATCTGAGCAATCATGAACAATTCAAAAACTCATTGGACTATATTTTCTTTGCTAATCCTTTATAGTTGGATTAGCTGACATATATATACCTCTGGAAAAAATAGTTACAGTAAATCGTTTGCGTATATGATCACTGTAAAAACATATTTTTAACAAATTAATTATATATTCTGAAAATGCTCGAAGGTTTGTATCATCCTGTACATTTTATATTTTAGTTTGCACTCATGTATTAGAAAATAAATCGACTGCAATGAAGATACCGTGATAACAAGGTTCTCACGAACAGGATTTTTGTCACTGTCATCACCATTAGTTTTTTAAATTTTTTCTCTAACACTATAGAAATACCTTCTTAAAAAAGTAGTTATATATTTTGGTAGCACTTAAAATTCTCTATCTTCCTATATATTTGTTTACTGTCTGACATTTATTTGTTGCAAAAATAATTTGAGTACAATGAAGAAACTCTCAATTGACAAGTACGAAAATCTATGTTTTTTCGCTACCTCTTTTTTTAGTTTTTCTTTCTCCAATCATAGATGCTATGGAAATAAATTCATACTAACTGTTGATATACTAACTTCAATATTTATTAGATAATTCGAACAAAATTAATACAATATTTACTATTATTTAAGTAAATGTATATTTAACCTTTACAAGTAAATAAGTAAATATATATTTACTATTTACTTATACATAAACATCTTATTTACTGTTTACTTATAAATAAACATCTTATTTGCTATTTACTTATAAATAAACATCTTATTTACTATTTACTAGTAAGTAAGTAAATTATTTCCATTCATCTACTGGTAAAGTAAGAGTAAAGTGGCACCCCTATTGCGAACTGTGTCGTATTTTATTTTTAACGATATTAAACTTTTTTGAATGAAAGAAAAATGCAATATTGAGTTGTTGCATTTCTACATTGCCATTCAGAAATTGAATTAACAGTACAGTTTATGGACGCTATTTGAAGAGAATGGCTGTGTAGTAGCTAATCTCTACAGTTCATTTCGTATAGAATTTCTGAAAGTTTATTGCTGGAAAAAAAATAAACGAAATGATGCGGAAATAGCACTATAGAGTGTTAGTGGTTCTACTGGAGGATGGAAATATCCGTTCGATACTTATGGCCGCAAAGGCTTTCTAAAGAGATTGCACTTTCGAAAGACATAGACTTACTCGTTGAATTCGTGCGAAATCTTGTGTGTTTACCACCAGAATAATATTGTAATCTATCGATGTTGTTATACGAGTGAGTATAAAGCACTGTATTGCCTATATATATAGCACGAAATAAGTTTAGCTTTTGTGGATCAATAGAGCATGAAGTATTAATTATATCCTGCATTTATTTTATACAAATATTACCATCGTTTTGCTTGCTCTGTCTCCCATTATTCTTGCAGATTTAACGACGGCGATGATGAATCAGTTGAATGTTCGGCAGAATGTACACTATACCACGCAGTCACTTATTCTTATTACATTTATTGAATAGGGGATAATATATCAAGGTTGTACTAAACACCATTTCTCTTTAGTGATGGGTCGAAACAAGGTCGAATAGTAATGAATGCTTGCTTCTTTCAATTACGAATAGAAAGAAAGAAAGAAAGAAAGAAAGAAATAATTCATTTCGTCATTGTCGCTTTCTTTTCTCAATGATTTTTTAAACAGAATGAGAATTCGATTCATTGTTGAACATAAATGATATTTTTAGATTCAGTTATTCGTGCTGAATCTGAAACAAACACCTCTGAAATTTGAGAGAAACAAAAGAATCAACAATTTGTGAGTTACTAAAAATTGAAAGATTTTTCATAACAAGTAGATCATATGAATAAACTGAAATTTTTCCTCTAATAATTCATTTCAAAAAAATGAAAAGACTTATATTCTTGATCCACTCGTCACGCTGTATCGAATTATATATATATAAAATTCTGCTTTAATTTTGTATTGTCGCCCCTCATATATAATATTCTTTCATGTTTTTCTTAATTATTTCGTCCAGCTTAGTATTAGCCTGAACAAATCGGTTAGCAAGAACGTTACCATAGGTGAATAAGTTCACATAACATCTTTAACACATTATTTACAACTTCTACTATTCCACGAACAAAAAAAGAGTCAGTTTTTCTATTGTTTCTTTTTCTCTTTCTCTTGTATTGTTATATCTATATTTGTATGTCATTGTATAGGTAGCACAATCTACTATACTTGTTTACACATATTATACTTTGTTTGAATGTTATTTTGTTTACCTATTATTTCGTTTACCTGTTGTTTCGTTTATCTGTTGTTTCGTTTATCTGTTGTTTCGTTTACCTGTTGTTTCGTTTGCTTGTTGTTTCGTTTACCTGTTGTTTCGTTTATCTGTTGTTTCGTTTACCTGTTGTTTCGTTTGCTTGTTGTTTCGTTTACCTGTTGTTTCATTTGCGTATTGTTCTGTTTATCTGCTATTTTTTTTTGCTTTATTAAGAGTTAATGCCCGAAGGCCTAATAATATACCCATATTTAAATACAAGGCCTGTTTATCTATTATTTTGTTTACATGTTATTTTTTGTCTTGTATTTATTACAAAAATGATCCATTGTAGTGATAATGAGAGAACACAAACACAAATGCAAAGAAGAAAAATATTCTATTTAACCATTTCCAGTTTTACAGTGTAGGTATGTCTAAATGTATTTTTGTGAAAGCCGATTGTTTTCTGAAGCCGATAAGTTTCACAAATGATCATCCAATCCATTAGCAAGAATCGATGATGTAGTTCTCAATAGGAGCAGCAATCTCACTAAAAGTTTTTCTGATCCGACTATTCGAACTTTGCATGTATACAGTATCAGCCTCATTATTATGATATCAAATAATGTTGCGTGTGATCAGTATGTGTCTAATATTACATGTACAGAAAGCTTGGGAAATCGAGCGAGAACTTTGAGTGAGATTGCCGTTCCAGTTCAAAGCTGCATCATTATCAATTATTAGTAATAGAGTGGGTGACCATTTGCGAAGCTTATCGGCTACAGAAAACAATCGGGTTTCAAAAATAGACATGTTTAAGCATACCTACACTCTAAAACTGAAAATGGTTAGATAGAATATTTTTCTTCTTTGTATTGCTATTTATGTTCTCTCATTATCACTACAATGAATCATTCTGAAATAAATACAAAATAACTTATAAATAAAATATAATATATGTATACAAGTACAGTTGGCTCTGTTATCTAAATAATGACGTAAAGGAATATATATAGTAATATAAGAGAAAGAGAAAAAGGAAATTATTTTTATCTGTGGGAGACTCTACGAGCGTTCATTATATCTGTTATTTGGAATTATCTTGGTAATCGACATCAACATCAATGAATTCATCACTCAATCAAGTTATGAGAATGTTTGTATCATATTTGAATTTCAGAAGCAGTTCGATGAACATCAAAAAATATAAATGATATGGACACAAACAATGACATAGATGAGTCCTACAAGGTTTACAACACAACACTCATTGTTTTCTGCTGCTATTCATGTATTGTAATTAATTAAATGTAAAATGTCAGTACTATGTAAATAAGAACAAATGTTCAATAAAAATGGATAGGTCGGTGAAATTCGAAACTTCACTACCGATTATCTTATTGCTATCATATTATCCTCCTTTCACCAAAAGGCTTGGTGACATTTGCGTCGCGTTATTTGAAATTTTAAGTATCTTTTTTAATGGTCTTTGAGACTTTGTCAATCCCCTGTTTATGTGATGAGCATGGTTTTTTCCTCTGAGGATAGAAGGAAATTTTGTCAAAAGTTATGATCCATTATTGAGTGTTTTTTCTCAGCATTACGTAGATTGTGTGTATGTTTTGCAGCCGTGTGATTTTTTTATGATTCTTTGATTAGGAAAAAGTCATAACCAGAAACCAACTATACCTTGTATTGAATATTGGATTTTGGATAGATTTCCATTAGCTCCCATTCAGAAAAATTGAAGGGTGTACGATGAGAATTCTAGAAACTACGATAGAAGTGCTGCCGATCGTGTTTTCTTCTATAGTATTTGTTACCTATTAGAATATCATATTTTTTGAAAATCTTGTTTTTTTTAGTTTCGAAAGTCATTTGTTCAAAAGCAAACATAGCTAAATCTTATCTGTCCTCATAGACTAGTTGACAGCACTTCTTTCATAAAACCAAGAGGAATGGTGTTCAGAATATATCGAGTGAAGGCTGAAATTAGAAATTGCTTAATATCCTTTTGTTATTTGATATTATCAATGCTCCATACGCATGGAAAAGAACGTACTTCATCACTATGTAGTTTTTTTTCTTTCTCATTCCTTATCTGACAAAGTATTATCATTGTGCGTTTGTTTGATACAATTTGCAGTTTTTCTTGACGGTTCGAATGCTCATTTGTCTCATTATCTAACCATTTTAAAATGTAATTAACGAACGAAGAAATAATGTGCGTCAAATGAATAAACTATCTATCGGTAAAAGCAAGACATTTGTTCCGCATCAAAGATTGCTATGTGAAGGTCTACCAGGATTTGTTTTTATGCAATTTACTGAATTCTCTTCAAAATTTCGAATTAGTTTTTCTATATTATATGCGAAGGAGAACCAACCGAGCCGTCGGTCACGAAGTCCCAAAAGTCTCTTGAAGTCTTATGAAGTTCCTTGGGGTCTTTTAAAGTCTTCTGGAATTTTCGACACACATCTGGTGCATGAAAATCCACAAAAAAACAATGAAACTGTCCGGTTTTC